CATCAGGAGGTAATCTTTGCAACAATACTCTTGATCGCAACGTTGACCTTACACCTTTTGACACTTGTATTAGGCCTATGCAGGTGCGGTTGAGAAAGTGATCTCCATTCCTTCCGACGAAGAGGAGGGGGCTGGAAATGAAGAGGGGTTCATAGGCTCAGGTAAGCGTGGGCCTTAGCATTATTCATTCTTCCTTACCCAACTATCAATAGGGTCCCTTTTGAGGGGCCTCTGTTAACTGTCTTCATGCATTCGTAGCTGATCCTGCCCATGAAGTTGTTGGCAAAGAGGATCCTCCCTCTTGGACGGGTCGCTCGCCTGAGGAGGTGGGCGGATCTGAGGAGGATGACGACGTCTCGGTTCATGAGGCGCTATCAAGTGAGAAAGAGGTTCGGGCTCGTGAAGATGCGCCCAGCCAAATAGGGGGATCTCCCGCTCCTGAGGAAGCTTCTACGGTTATGACCACAGGTACTTCGACCGCGATTTCATCCACGGTGGAGGAGGCTGCCCTCTCTCCCTTGGAGCGCGAGCGAAAAAGGAGTGCGGCGCGATCCGTGGCTGATTTCCAAGACACTCTAGCCGGCTGCATCAAGCTTGCTTTGGAGGAGAGTTGTCCCTTCGAGAGTTTCGAAGAGGATCTCGACTACATCGTGTGCTTCTTAATCAAGAGGCTTGGCCATACGGTGGCGAAGCCCCATCCTCGGCATAGGAGGCTACCCTCTCTCCCTTGGAGCGCTCGCGAAAAAGGAGTGCGGCACGAGCTCTGGCTGATTTCCAAGACACTCTAGCCGACTGCGTCAAGATCGCTTTGGAGGAGAGTTGTCCCTTCGAGCAACAGAACGTGATCGCCGTCTGAACGAGACCATGTCACTAGAGACAAGGTTGTCAGCAGAGTAGGAGCAGGTCAAGGCTGAGGATGAACGAGTGTCCCTCGAGCAACAGAAGGCCGATAACCGCGTTTCTCGCTTGTCTTTGGAGGTAGAGAATCTGAAGCAAGTCATAGCTAAAGCGCAAGCCTCATTGGCCATTCAAGAGAAGGCTCGTGAAGAGGCGGCCAAGGAATTGGAGAGCATTGAATCCCATCGGACACTGACGGCTAATTCCATTGAGGAAAAGGATCGAGCCTATAGGGAGGTCAAAGAGACCGTCCAAGACTTGGCCTCACGCACTGAGGAAGATCTTCGCCAAGAGATCCTGAGGAGGCTAGAGCATCGTCATGCTAGGGAGATTCGTGAGGCGGAACTGCGGTTGAAAGCTTTGTAATTTGCCCCTTTTTGTCTTTGATTGCCAGTTGTACTAGGATTTCTTTCTATGAATGAAATTATCCCTTTGTTTTTTGGCTATTATTACTTCTGTGCATGCTCCATTTCTTCTTTATCATGCGTTAGCTAGAGCGTTAGTTGCGAGGGGCGGTCTTCAGCTATCGGCGAATTTCGGCCGTAAGCTTGTCTCCTCTGCGAGCGGATTTCGTCCGCAGGCGGATTTGGAATTGTCCTCTGCGAGCGGATTTCGTCCGCAGGCGGATTTGGAATTGACTCAAATTCCAGAAGGGTAATCAGTTTCGACCCGCGGGAATCCCAGCGGTGAATTCACCATCAGATAGGCTCCGCTTTCGGTGGGCCACGTATTGGTTTGTGCTTACGTCAGCCGAGAGAACGTGGGCACGTCGCTTCGTATTGAATGCGGCGTAGTGGGGCTCTTCGTCCCTCGCGCCCGATTCGGGCCGTTGTTGAAGATCGTGCTTAAGAAAAACTGTTGGATCTTGGCCGTCCAGGTAAGATCTGATTTGTTCGGCCTTACCCTTCAACTGTTTTAGCCTTGAACGGTCTAATCAAGTATTGAGTAACCGCCTAGGGTTCTTAGGGTATTTAACGCCCTTATCCTCTGTTAAGAGGATCTACAGCCTTTTCATCATCTTCCTCCAGAATAAACCCATATTTTCCCTTCCTCACACCCCTGATGGCGCCGAAGGTGAAGAGGGTTGCTTCTAAGAAAAGGAAAGAACAGTCTTCTTCGGGCGCTGCTGAGGCTGCCACGGCCGAAGGTATCTTTTCGTTCTGACTCTCGCGTGGGTTGAACAAGTATTCTTCCCTTGACTCCTCTCTGTGTTGTTGTTGTGTTTTACAGATCGAGGGGAGGCGCCGGCTGCCGAGGAGCATGCGGCCGAGCCTATCCTGATTTCGGACGACGAATCCGAAGGTCCTGCGACCTCCGCCGCCTTAGACTCTGATCCCCAGCCGGGAGCTGAACCCTGCCTCGAGATTCCGCCTATTATGGCGCTCACTCCGGGCCAAGAACCTGCTCCCTCCGAGTCCTTGTCCTGGCAGGCTCGCATCGAAGAGTTTGAGAGCGCTGTGAGACAGGTGATTTCCCTTGTTGACCTTGGCATGGGTAGCTTTGACAGCTTTAGGCAGTCTCTTCTTGGTCGCATGGCTGATTTGCGGCGATCGGGCGAAAATCGGCTCGCTACCCGTTGCATGCATGAGCTCTGTCTCTTGGAGTCATGCATGATAGGGTTAGAGACCTTGCTTCGGGAAGGTCCGGAAGCCAACATGGGGTCTTGCCTGGCTCATGTCAGGCGTCAGGAAGCCCTGGAGCAGGAGACCCATTCCAGAGAAATAGCGGATTTGGAGTCCGTCGCCAACTTCTGGGTGGGTCAACAACATTTGCTAGAGGAGCAAATTATTGACCTCAATCGCACTATGGCTCGCCTGAGGGCCGAATTGGGACAGGCGGAGGCGAACTTGAAGGGGCTCTAGTCTGACGTTGTAAAGGTCAGTAAGAACGCTGAGGCGGAAACTCGACGCCTGCTAGCCTTGCGCCAGGCAGATGCTGCCGCCAGGTCGAGCCGCGAGGACAGGATTCGGAAGGCTGCTGAAAACAAGGCTCGGGAAGACCACGCGAGCAAGGTGGAGGCGGCCAAAGAAGAGATCTCCACTTTTAGCGTGTTCGACTGAGACTTCTGCCTTATGATTGTGTTAAGACATTTTGTTTATGACTTGTTTGTTTATGAAGTCATAACTTTGTTCAAATGTATTGTCTTAAAAACTGGGTGCATGTTTTGCTTCTTTGAACGTAATGTTACGACTTTCGCTTTTGCAAAAAGACCATAACTTTGTTCAAATGTACTGTCTAGAAGCATCCCATGAGGTTTGTGTTTGCTCATCGTGCGTATACTCTTTTGATATGTCGCTTTCCAGTGTTTTGCTCTGTAATTGCCGACAATCTCGTATCGCAGGCAAAGTCTCTTGCGTGACGACGAGTCCACTGTCAAAGCCAAACTCTATCCTGATGAGTTTACGCTGGTGGCGAAACTAAGGCGATGGCGAGTTCGCTAGGCTGATGAAACTCGACTCCTGATGAGTTCACATTGCTGGCGATACTCAATTGATTGACGAGTTCGTTTGTAGGCGAGATCCGATTGCGGCGAGTTTTGTTTGGAGGTTAAACTCAGCTGCTGGCGAGTTTACACTGCAGGCGAAACCCGTATGATGGTGAGTTTGTGTTGAAAACTAAACTCGATTGATGACGAATTTACGCTGCAGGTGAAACTCGTATGATGACGAGTTTACACTACAGGCGAAACTTGGATGGTGGTGAGTTTGTCTAATCAGTCAGAAATCCAACTGTGGACGAAGCGTGTGCCACGCGTCTGTCTGCGGGCCCAAGTGCTTGCCAGCTAAGACTCTGCGGGCGCAATAATGCTCATTAATGGTGAAGCGACCGAACGCTTCGCCTCTCGTGCTTAATCTGATCGGTCGGTTTGGGTTCCCAAGAGGAATAGCCTTTATTGGCGTTGAGTTCGAAGCGTCGCTGAACACTCGGACCGTTTGATCGCCTGAGGTAACCAATCTCAGCCATTGGGTTTTTTGAATATATATCCATACTCGTCCCTCTTCAGCAGAGTCCTTACTGCTTCGAGAAAAAGAAATCCGCTAGAAGAAGATCTCTGCGGCAAACTTCCCGGCCTCATAGCTTCTGCTTCCGATCACAGCGATTCTGAGGGCGTTGGCTCTTCTGCCACCGTCATCGACGTCGGCACGCCGCCGGCCTCTCCTGCGGGCTCGGTCCGGGGGTCCTCTGCTCCGAATCCCGTGGAAGCCAAGCTATACGCAACGGAGCAGGTTAACGAGGCGACAAATCGCACCCAAGCATTGGAATGCATCCACTCGCACGCGGAATCAAACCAATGTTTAGGTGAATCACCGAGTCATCTAAACAAGAGCGAACTCGGATGAATCACGATCAAATCAACATCAATTCCGGACTCAAATTCAGAAGTTGGTTTACTGCCATATCAGGAACCCGACTCACTGCCATATCTGGAATCAAGTCAACAAGTCGTTGCCAAGTCAATCAACCACACAAGAGAACCAGAACCGGAAACAAAGGACGAAACGGACAAACACCCGGGGACTCGGCCGAAACCGAACCACCCCAGGGTGGCTCGGCCCAAGCCGAGCCACCCTGAGGTGGCTCGGTGGCCGAGCCACCCCAGGGTGGCTCGGCCAAGGCCGAGCCACCCTGAGGTGGCTCGGCCAAAGCCGAGCCACCCCAGGGTGGCTCGGCCAAGGCCGAGCCACCCTGAGGTGGCTCGGCCAAGGCCGAGCCACCCATGGGTGGCTAGGCTCAGAACTGTGCAAATGCACAGTTCTGAGTGCCTATAAATAGGCCTTGTGCTCATTTGTTTCAGAGGTTGGAAATTTTGGAGAGAGGCGAAGCCCTGCTGGATTGAAGACTCAGATCTAAAAAAGATCACAACTTTGAAGGCTTGGAGACTTGGACTTTCAGATCCGGTGCTCGGCGATCACCAACGCCAAATAAGGCAGGAGTTCGAGAGGATTGGATTTGAGATCTACACGATCACACTCCGGATCTAAGCTTGGTTCTTAGATCCCGAGATTCGAGCGGTTGTTTCCTTGGTGAAACAATCCCTCCCGGCTATTATTCCCTTGGTGGAATATTACCCGTCATATCGTGTAGATCCGACCGGATCGAGATCACGCGGTGGTCCACGGCAAATAACCCCGGCGCAGGCAAAGAACCCACCAAAGCGAGCGACCGCAAAACAGGAGCTCGCGATTAGTTCGACAAATAAGGAAAATTGTAATCTTTACTTTGTTTTCTTTGATTTTTCATTGTAACCGGATCTTATAAAAAGACCGGATCTTTGTAACGCATAAAGTTGTTAACTGAGATAGCAATGATATCAACAATGAAGAAAGCTACGATTTTTCCCGCGAACAATCTGGCGACCACAGTGGGAGCCAACAGCTTTACTGCCGAAGCTGTCGCGTCGCAGCCGCGGATCCCGATCCCGGTCGAGGAGGAGGTCGAGTACGAATTCGACCAACAAAAGTTCGAGGAGTATCTGTCATCCTCGTCCGAATCCACCTCCCCTCGCAAGTCCAAGTCTCCAAAGCTCTCTTCCAAGAGAAAACTTCGTTGGTACGAAGAAGTTGAAGCTGCCAACGAAGATCTCGCCCCGTTTGATGCCGAAGCTGCATCGGGTGAGATCTCTCCTTCCAACCAGGTCAGATCTGCTCTGGCCGAATCTTCCGTTGCCGAGGGCGTAGTGACTCTCTCAAAGAGAGCCCGCCAAAGGCAACGTCAGCGCCTTGCGAAACAAATCGCAAAGGCAATGGAATCTGTGGACGGGATCCGTTACAACACGGATCTGAAGAACAGAAGAGGCGAACGACCTCAACAACCAATGAATGGCAACTCCTCCAAGCCACCAACGAACGAATGGATCCGTGTCAAACGGAACCGTTCAACGCTGGAGGATCGCATTCAGAAGCGCCGCGCACTCTCAGCACAAGCACGAGCTCAAGTTCAAGAAGCCCGTAGAAGGTGGCAGAATGGAGTAGCCAAGAAATCACCACTAACTCACAAAATATGGAGGCCAAAGTCCAAAGTGGTGAGTCAGGCCGAGGATCGACCTTTACAGCCTTCAAAACGAGTTCAACCTCCCGAACCATCCCGAGGAAGGAGGTCAATCTTGGAGCGCCTCGGTCCAATTCCCGACGAGCGCAACGAAGTCCATGAACGCTCGGGCCCGATGAAGAGGCTCCGAACTAATCAACATGCTGGGGGTCGACACAACCCTCAACATGACAAAGAGTTTACGGCACCCAAGCGCACTACCTTGCGCATCGAAGTTCGGGAGCCCGCTGAGAATTCATGTCTACAAAGGCGTGTTTCGAGGCGAGTGACTCTCGGAAGTCCAAATAAGGCAGTTTGCTCTCAGAAGGAAACGTTGT